CTTGTGTATCACTTGGTGGCAGAGGACCTTGAAGCTGTGAGACCACTCTCATTTACTGAGAGGCTCTGTTTGGATGGAGAAGAATGGCTGCTAAACTCAGGATGGAAAAAAGATTTATTTCCTAAGATTGTGGTGCAGCAAGTAGGGAGAGATAAATGACAGCATGTACCCTTGTTTTGGAAGGGGAGCTGTGTGATTGTTTAACAATTACATCTGACATTACTTACAGCAATATATGGTGACAGGGCTATAGAAATGTGGCTGCAGGAAACTGCTTTGGGACTGGTTTTGCACACCTCTGCAAAAACCCCAGCAAGGATCTGAGTGTGCCTCTGTTAAGTGCAGACATAAAGGTATGTAAAAATCCCTTTGCTGAGAATTTTAATTTTCAAATTTAGCTTCCAGGTGGTAGCAGTGAGTTTTGGAGCAGGGCTGGTGGAATGTCTAGAGCACAGAGATGACATCCCATGGACCTCAATGTGTGTCAGTGCAGTCATATCTGAGTGAACATATTTTGTGTCATTGGTATGGGTTTCAGAAAAGAAAGGTGTTTGCAGTCGTGTACTTACTTTATATGGTTTGCATCTCTTTGAAATTCTGAAGAAGAAAATGTTCTTCTTTCTCACTTCTGGACAGTGAAATGGAGTCTGAGGATCATGTTTGGCTGTGTTCCACACAGCCCTTTAACCTTTAGATAAATTACTTGGGTGAGGACACTCTTTGACTCCTTTTTTTTCCCCAGCTACTTCTACTCATTGCTGTGGGGCAGGGAGAGAGGACACTGACATTTGTCCATTATTAGTAGTGTGGAAAAATGAGATACTCTGTGTTATCTGCCTTGTTGGTGTGCAACAGCCAACACGTGTGGGACTCATCTCCGTGCTGCTGTGAATGGGAATTTTTATATTCTGCTGATGTGAGTGTGCAAAATGTCAGAATAACCAGCAACTGTGCAGTTCAGCTGTGATCAGTCTGAGGGGCCATATCTACAAAAATATCTGCACAGGCTCCTTTAAGACTAGCAAAAGACCTATTAATCTTGGTTCAGTACAAATGGCTCTGTGCTATTTAGTAAGGCATAGCCAAGGCTTGTGTAAGATGCATCTCTGCAGATCTGTGTTTTCATGCAAATGATCTGACGTCAGGACACTCGTTCCTTTGTGTGCATTGCAGTAAATGAGCCGTGAGGAGACGGGGACTGTCAGATGGAACCTGTAACCATGGTGGTGAAATGGAAGTTTCAAGAAAACAGAGTCAGAGGGAAATAAAAGGAAATTAAATGGAGGAGTATGATTCTGACACAGTTTTTCCTAACCTGTTCTGCCAGGAGGCTTCCAGACCTTGTGCAGTTTTGCACAGATATAATGTGTTTCCACTGAACCCTTGAAAGAATCTTTTTAAATAGGTCAAATACAGTTTCCTTGCTTTAAAGTTACATCTCTCTCAACAATCTGTGAAACTGAAAGCAATCTTGACAACAAATTCAGATGAGCTCCTGAAGATGTGCAGTTGTGAGGGTATGTTTCTGCATGTGGTTCTGTTGTCTGTCAGTAATTAGTGTGCTGTTTTCACGGGTTTTGGGGAAGGGAATAAATCCAGAAAATTTGGAATCGTTTACTTTGAAACAAATAGGCTGTTATTTGGACAAGACAAATATAATTTTTCTTGCCTTTATTGCAAGCTGACATTATGTTCTATTTGAAGTTCGTAATGAAACGTGGGATTTTTTCCTTCTTTTTCTCTTCTTACTCTAATTATTTTATTTAATATATACCTGAAGTCCTTCTTTAAGACAAACTTATTTTTGCTTCTGTGTGCCCATGCAAGTAATGTGAAGCAGCTTTGGTGGCTGTGATTGGATTGTGTCACTTCAGGAAGTAGAACTTTACCTTCTTCAAGGTTACTTTGTGTTAGTTTCAGATTTAGTCTCAGATGTAAATGTGAGTTGATCTTTATTTGTATATCAGTAGGTTTTCCTTTATTTGGGCAAAAGTGTTTTATAATCTACATGAAATGGCTTTGTGAATTAAGAGCTTCACCTAATGTATGTTTGTAATGCAACTATGATTTAGCAAAATGAAACCTTTGCTAGTTACATTTCTGATGGAACCCAATGTTGGACCCAGTTTTACATTTTATCTTACATAGTTTTGTTGCTAGTCAGGATAGAAAATAAAACCACAACTGTGACATGATCAAGGATGAGTAAAAGGAAAAGTCATTCTTCTCATTAGAAACGTAAGGTGCCTTTGTCACTGGCAGTAACTTACCATTGGGATGTTCTGGGCTTGCATGGAAAGTGCCTTTTTACTGCACAGCTTTCTCTGATTTTGCAGCTGTGTCAAGGTCCTTTCTGCCCTGAGCTCAAGCCAAACTTGTGTTTCAGTTCTGAGCTGTGCAAATCACCTTGAGTGGGACTTGAGGATGACGGGGATGCTGCACCCCAGAGCTGGGCTGCCCTTGGGAAATGCGGTTCCAGGCAGGGTCTGTGTCCACAGCAGCCTGTGGGAGAGGGGGGAGAGCCCGGCCGGGCTGGGCACTGCACACAGGAATGGGGAATTTCTGAGTGGTACAAGTGTTGAGGGCTAAAGAGAGTCAGCCCTGGGGTGAGGGAACACTGAACTCTCATAAATGGGGAATAGCTTGAGCTTTTTATGCCTTGTAGAGCATAAGCATTGTAAAAGAGCTGAAATGAAACCCCAAAGCTGTAACAGAGTGTTGGTGAAAATTACTGTTTGCCATTTCCCTTTGTGTGGCAGTACACAGAGCAGATGACAGTGTTTCCCTGCTACTGTGCCTTCCATTAGCTCATACAAAGCATTTGTGCATCTCTTATTTAGTGTTCTTTAGTATATATATTGCATAATCTCACATCATATTTATCTTCCTCTCTCCCTTTTCCCCAGAGTTCCTTATTTTATTCACTGCATAGACTTGCTTTTGAGTATGTGTTGCAGGAAACAGAAAAACTCCAGAAGTTCCTGATTCAAAAACCACCTAGTATGTGGTTTATATTTTTATTACTCTATTCCTGTGTTCTTCCTTGGCCATCCTAGTGATATCTGCTGGTAGCCACAGATAAAATGCTGCACCAGATGGATCTTTGGCCTCGTGTGGTGGCCATTTCTGTGTACTGGTGATGATGGGGTGCTTTTAAAAGCAGAGGAAGGACCCTGGTAATTCTGTATTCTGTTTCATGGGAGGTTTAAAACTGAAGCCACACATGTAGGAGAAACCAAATTTTAAGAGCTGGTTAGAGATCCTTTGATTAGGTATGTTCAAGGGATGCAACCAGATTTTTCCTGGAACTAAATTTAATGTGTGATCATAGCATGAGCTGAGAATTTTTTTTTAAACAAAAGTGGGATAAATCTATATGCCAACTGTTGTTTCCCTGGAAGATATTCCCTGGGTGCTGTTGGTTGTATAGAGGCTGCTTCATCTGGTCTCCACTGTCTATTAATTACCTTCTTAGCAGCACCTTGGAAGAAATCCTTTTTCATGAAGAAAACAAAAGCAGTGCAGTGTTGGTGGATGTTTTCAAATGCTTTGCTTTATAGACAGTGTTATCCTGTAGACCAGTGGACATCATACTGTGCGTTGTTTTAATTTAAATTTCATTAAATAGTATTTCTAAATACTCTTGGGCGTTTTGTGATGTTTTTTTAAAGCAGTCCTTTGTTGCTGTCAGGTAAATAGAAAATGACATCCCTTCATTTTGTCATGTTCCTCCACCTCTGTGTTTTCCTCCCAAGAACATCATGTCTGTTTCCTCGGTGTAAATTGAATGTATTGTGAAGTGTAGCCTGTGACTAATCGCCTCTTGCTGTCTCTGCTCATTAACTGGCTGATGGTGATGTGGTTGCACCACTTTCTACACATGGCCTCAAGGATATGGCATGGTGACACCCAGATTAAAATATGCAAGGCTTTTCTTCACAAGATGTTTTGGGTTGGGAAGTTAGAGAGGTTATCAGCTGATATTGGGGCTGGTTTTACCCCTTTGAATGAGTATTAGGTGATAGTAAGATAAGTTGTACCTATTTAATGTCTATACATTCTAGTATATTCCTTATGTTCTAGAAACCATTGGATTTAAATTTATCTCCAGTCTTCTTCAGCTAATGTTGTCCTACAATTTAAGCAGTATGTCTGGATTATGGTTTAGCAATTATTTACTGAAAATACATCAGAAGTTTGTTAAATATCAGGTAGTTCAGTGCAGATTTAAATGTGGTGGCACACTGGCTTTTCAAGTTTCCTGCACATTTCTCTTGGTGAACAATAGAACTATGAAACAGGTGCTGGGCTGCAAATGGGTATTGGCAGATGTGGCACTTGCAGGTTATTGGAGAGAGAGAGAGAGAGAGGAGCTGTGTTGGGTCTCAGCTCTTCCTTGGTGTCATGGTAACCATGAAATACTTCTGTTGCAAAACTCTTTGCTCTGGTCTCTTTTAAGTAGGGAGATTCTCTTTCCTTCTCCTTTTTGTTTCCCAGTGGAACCCCAAGAATTGGCTCACAAAAGGAGATGTAATTTGGCTTAGGAACAGAAGCTTGATTTTCTCATGGCTTTGTTTTGTTATTTTTGTGATAATTTCATAAGAGAAAACAAGCAACGCAAAATGTTTCTTTATAAGGTTTTCTAAAATATTGAAGGGAGTTTACCAAAACTTACCAAATTAAATGTAAATGTGTGAAACCTCAGATAATTAAAGGCCTAAAGCTTAGAGTGATGAGCACCACCTCTTTGATAATTGTATTTTTGAGGCATTCAGTTGGAAGTGTGTGAAATTATTGGTCATTTTAAGTCTGTAGTTTGTACGTGGAATGCAGCAAACCAGTGGGAGTTTAATTAGAAGACAGTGTGTAGTATAATACTTTAATGAAAACACTTGATTTCTCACTGAAATTTCATGATGCACATGTTTTTTAACTCTATGGGTTTTTAATGATACTTCCTTTTTAGTAATTTGTACATTAATATTTTCAATTTTTTTTAGGTGCTTATAAGAAGAAGTAGGAACCATTTCTCAAGCTGAAGACACAGTAAAAGAAAACTGTATCATGTGTTAGAACACTGAAGAGGGACATTTCTTGGATTAGTTTATTTCTGGATTGCTAAACAAAAGAAAGAAGAGGTGAAAATGGGGAGAAAGAAAATACAGATCACGAGAATAATGGATGAACGGAATAGGCAGGTGAGAAACAAGTCTGCATGAACAGGTCCATCAGTAATCTTAAAAATTCATGGAAAGTTTGAATACACTCATCCTAATCCATTGTTCTAAAGCTGAGCTTTGTCTTCATCTATCCACAGGTGCCCTTGCCAGAATATGAATAAGAAACCTCAACGATTTTATGTCTGTTTGAGGAAAAAATGTTATTTATAAGTAATAACTCTTACTATTTAAAATTTTAAATTGCTGTTCCTATTTAAATGGTATCCTGCTGTGCTAGCAGTAGAGTGGAGGGGTGTTTTTAAAGACACATGGCTTGATCTGATAACTACTAGGAACACTCAGGAAGGATCTAGTAAAGGTATTTTCTGTAGCACTTTGACAGAGGAATTTGAGGTCGCTGTGGGCAGTATCCTCCGTCCTTTGGATACAGTAACAAATTCTGTTAACATTCTGTTTAAAAGCATCGATTTGTATTTCTTGTAAGAGCTGTTTGCTACAACAGTCTTTAAAAATTGTCAGTCAGAAGGGAAGAGGGCTCAAAATTAATGTTTCAGGGAAAGCTGCTCACTTGGCTGCTGCTGCCCTAACAGAGAGGTGCCCTGTGAACTTGAAAAGCACCAAAAGTTGATAACTCTTGCTGTAATGTTTCCTCTTAATTTCTGAATTGCTGCATGAGATGCAAAATAAAATTTTAATTGGACACTGAAATATAGTAGTGGGATAACTGGAAGCTGTTGTTTTTAAGGCAAATTATTACAGGAATGGCTTAAGGTCTTTAAGAGCAGTGCTGGTGGCTGAGGCCAAAGGTGCCGCTGGGCCGACGTCTTTTGTCCAGCGATGGTCCTGAGCAAATACGTGTGGGCTGGAGATGCACATGCACCCGACCCTGTAATCCTCTTCCAGCTTTTAACTATTCTTAGCTCAGGGATTTCCTGAGCTGGATGTGCTTTCCGTATATTTAGTAACCATTAATGGTTTTTTTGTTTGTTTTCCCCGCCCCCCACCAGGGAAGTTGTTCAGTTATCCTTTGAGCCTTTATAATGTTGCAGCTTTTACAACATCTTTTGTCTAGAATCTCCTACAGGTCTATTGCCTGTTGTTTCAAGAAACACCATTTTATTTGCCCTTTGTCATGGTTCTGCCAATTATTTAGCTCTTGTATGGAAGAGCCAACAGTGACTCCCTCTCTAGAGTCTGTCCACACTTGCTTATTTTCTCTTAAAGTAAGTTTTTTCAGGCTGTAGCTGCTTAGTTGTTTTAATACAGAATTTGTTTCGCACGTCTTGCTCCTATTCCCTGAAACCTTCTGGAGTATTGCTCCATTGCTTTGATGGCCAAGGGACCCAGAATTCAGGGTGCAGGCAAAATATGGACTTGTGTAGTGTTGTGCTGCTGTTTTGTTCTGTTCCCTTCCTGGTGTTTGATTTCCTTTTTTAACTTCTGAGCAGCAGCTTGATGTTGGGGTACTGTCAGAATTCCACAGGACTCTCTTGCTGCTGACACATCAGCTCAGAGCCCATTGTTTTGCTGGTGAGATCAAGATTGTTTTTCTCCCTGTATCACTTTAAAGCAATGTAAACTCTGAGAAGTCTATATATAGCAAGAAAAGTATTATTGGAGTTTGGGAGAAAGCCAAGTATTGTGTTGGAACAGCTTTAATCACCCAGTGACTTTATGTTTGATGTAGATAAATGTCTTAAGTACACGTAGTAAAAGTAGATGAATTAATGACTTCAGTTCTTTTCAGATCTTGCTCTACAACTTAAAGCACATGGAAGAGATGGGAATTGATCCCACTTATTCCTTTTTTACATGAATCTGGATTAAGTTGGGCAGTCTTGGTTTTGTTCTGCTTGAGGAACAAATAGCTTTACACTTCTACCCTGACTTTGGTGAGGGTTTTTTTCTTTTTTTTTTCCAGGAGAAATTGTTTTTTCTTTTGAATCCCCATCCCATTGTTCAGATTGAAACAATGGAGAGGAAGAGAATCAGTGCATTTGTATAAAATTTTACACCACTTACACCATTGCTGTGACTGAAGCAAAATAGGGAGATGAAATTCTAGTTTTGTTTCTGGCAGGTTTTTGCCTAGCACCTTTTTGGGCTACTTAGTGATGACGAAGAGGATTTAACTCTAACTTAAAAGCAGAATTAGGCTTGCCTTACCCTTTTTCTCTGGAAACTCAGATGAAAACACACTGCATCTTTTTAAAAGGTTTTAGAGAGATCAAGTAGTTTTTGTTAGTGGAATCTTACTTTTTGTATGTAGAGGTATTGATGGCCTTCATCCCCACTGTTGTCCTGTGGTTTTGGTAGCCAGGATATGGAATTTGAACATATTAGAATGCTCTGATGCACTGGGCATTTATAAGATATTTACTGGAGATTTTTTTTCATTGATCCAGATGAGGAGGGCATGCAGGGTTTGTTCTGGACTGAAAGTGTAGTTCACTTGTGTCCTGTCAGATTTTCTATGGCATGTCTAGCTGGTCACTCATGGACATGCCTGTGATGTCCTGGTTGGGTGTTTAGTTTGAGATTTAAATTTTCTGTGTTTGCAGATAGAATGGGACAGAGCTTTGCTTGCAAAGCAAGTTCGTATAACTTGTGTGGGAAGAAAAACTACTGTTTTGTCAGAAGCATCTTATTTCTGATGGGATTGTATGTGAGCTCAAAACAGAATATATAGACCATTCCTCAGGGGGATTATGATTGTCATGAGACTGTCATTGTATTATTAATTAAGCAGCTTTATCTTCTTGAATGAGCTGTAGGACATTTATCTTCATTAAGCTGAAGAGAATCCAGCACAGTAAATTAGATATCAAAGGAGCTCAATCTTGCTGCCTTTGCTGTCTCCTCCTCACCCATTTTTTTGCTAAGCAATATTAAAATAGTGCTGGGGAAATGATTTACCTGCAATAACGAGACATATTTTTTGAGTTTGATGTGGTCCTAAATGGAGCAGGAAAAAAAGAGAAATTTAAAGAACCAAGACTGCTTTTGGGTTCTGAAATGAAAACTGAGTTTAAAATAATCTCTGTATGTTGAAGTAAGGCTGAGGGTGCTGTGGTAGAGGGGTTTGTGCTAAGCACTGTCCAGGCACCAAGAGAGAAGTTGATGCCAGCAGAGAATCTCACAAGTGAAGCAGCCTTACAGGAGGTGAGAAAGATAAAATTCCAGTAAAGAAATGGAGGGCTCCTGTCCAGGATCCTGCTGGTCCTCAGTGGCAGCAAACCTTCATGCTTTTGTCTGAGGACTTCTGCAGGTGACACAGCACACACACATTTTGTTTATAATGCCTTTTTCCTGACAAACACTAAGCAGTAATAGCTCTCTATACCTGCTCACACCCAGGTAATAACCTTTTAGGTGTCAGAAGAACAACAGCTGTGTATCCTCTGAGTCTGTTAACATGGTGGGAAGAAAAGAATATATTTTGTGTTATTAATGGTATTAAAAAAGTAATATGTGTGAGATAATGAGGAGAAAAAAGCCTTCAGGTGTGTATATACAGAAGAAGTTTCCCATCCATTTTCCCAAAAACTCGCTATACAGCTTGGTAATTAAAGTACAGACACCCAGAAAACAGGTTTGATTGTTTCTTGTGTCTTACTTCATTCCTCTCTTGCGAAATCTCCCTGGCTGTTGTCTGTGGGACATGGGGTATGTGGATCACTCACCTGTCACAGAGGCTCGTGCTTGCAATTGCAATGGGGGGTGTCAAATGCAGTGACACTTTTATATCCTTACCTGCTGCCTTATGAAAGGAATGATTTTTTTATAATTTTTTTAATCCTAACTGATGGTAACTTCCATAACTGTTTCCTCCTTCCCTGATGGGCAGATGCCCCTGTGTGATGGTCTGTAATGGATTTGTTTCCCCACAGCAGTTCTAACTGGACAGAACAATTGTTTCTTGATGTTTCCAGGTGGCAGAAAACAAGTCAAATTATAAATGACTTAATAGCAGCAAAATAGCAATATTTCTTAGCTGTACATAATTAGGAATCATGGTGCATAGTAAGTGTTACTTCCATTGATTGTTCTGTTTTCTTTGATTTTATAATAATTAAGGTTGAGTACTACAGAAGAAAATATTGTGATACCTGGAAAGTCAGTCTATTGAACGGAGGAAATAAAGCTAAATTACCCTATTCTAACTAAAACTCTAATAAAATTGAACTCTTCTTGGTAGTTATTTACCAGTGGAAGAGTTGGGGCGTTTTGTAATTGTTTAACTTACTTTAGTAGAGAACATTGGGCCCTGAAATTGGCACCAGATATTATAGGCAGTTCTTGTGTTAAGCTGCATATTACAGTAGGAGTAAATGCTGTAGGTTCAGTCAGTGTATACCTTGATTGTTTTCCTTCAAACCCTTGTCATGTGTTTTAAAAAAATAAATCAATCATTATTCTTTCTTCTCTAGGTCACCTTTACAAAGAGGAAGTTTGGATTAATGAAGAAGGCCTATGAGTTGAGTGTGCTCTGTGACTGTGAAATAGCACTCATCATTTTTAACAGCTCTAACAAACTCTTTCAGTATGCCAGCACTGACATGGACAAAGTTCTACTAAAATACACAGAATACAACGAGCCCCATGAAAGCAGAACCAACTCAGATATCGTTGAGGTAACAATTTGAGAAGACACATCAGTCTTCTTATCTCCTTAATAATTAAAACATAGAGCAACACAGAGCATTTTAAGATATTTTAATCAAATGCTTTTAAGTTATTTAATACTGTGTTATAAATTGTAAACTACTGCTTTTAGTCTGGTTTCTCTAAGGCAATAACTTGTCTTTACAGCCATGTTGTTTTCCCATCTGCCCTCCACCCCCTGCCAGTTTCTGGGAAACATGTTTGATTTCAATCACATTTGGCAATGGAAATAGAGGTGTGAAAAATGGTTGTTTTTCTGGGGAAGGAGGGGGAGAAATGTTCAAGGTTTTTAATGGGGAGAAAAAATCGACCGAGTGGGAGAGAAAGGTCGGAAGAGTGCCCTCAGCCTAACAGACAATTATAGTTGGCCCTTTTTCTCCTCTGAGGTAGTAGCCACTTTACCAGTCATATCTTGAACATGGATCAAATCAGTCAGCACCTCTGCTGCCCCTCGTTCAGCAAAAAAAAAAAAAAGCCAAAAAAAGCCAATCTGTGGAATAAACGAACTTAATTAAATTTGTTGTCCAGTGACTGACAATTAAAATAGCAGCAGAACGACTGCAGTTTCTGCAGTAATAGAATAACATGAATATATTTACTCCAAGGTATTGGTTTCATCTACTTTTATAATGCTTGAGCTTTAAATAGAAACTCTTTTCAGTACATAATTTCTAAATTAGGTGCAGTAGAATTCAAGGATTTTCTTGGCAATTGGAGCCTTGATGTACTGTAACTGCATTTCAGAGCATGTCTCCAGTAGTCCTGTAAATAGACCAAAACAGGTGGCTGACTTAAGGGTTTAATTTAAATTCTGAAGTTGTCTTCTGAACAAATGCCTTGCTTTTTAGGAATGATTTCAGAATAATGATTAGCCTTGAATAGCTGAAGAGTCTATTGCCAAGGGGATCGGAGTACAGGGATGGTACTAGCTGATCTTGTACATGAGTGTGCAAGCAAAAAATCAGATTGACAAAACTGAGATACAGACAAATGCTTTATATTTCTTTCTGAGAGGATTCTCTGCTAATTTGTTAACTGTCTTTTATGATCAGAAAAAAACCCTCCCCAACTTCTGTCTTCAGCACTGAGTTCTCGAGAGAGGGATAATACAAGCCATGAAGAGCTGAAGGCTTAGTCACTGGATTAGCATAAATAAGGGATAGCCACTGGAGAGGAAGGGGAAACCTAATTCCTGCAGAATGAGCTTTGGATGGTGACAGACATGGGTTTGAGACAGGGATGCAAGTTCAGCTGGGTTTTGTTGTGCATGCAGGGCCTCTCTGTGTTGTGACTCATGGTAATGGTGCTTCTTCACATCACGAGGACTGAGGACCTCTTCCAGAATATTTCTGTGCAAGGCTGCTTTTTGGGGTTCCTCCTGTTGGTGGGTTTTTTTACCAGAGTCAGTTTGACCCCTGACAAGTACATTAAAAGTGCACTTAGCACCCCAGGGCAGATGTGCTCTGGGGGAACATGCAGGGACTCAACTGCAGATTCTTTCTAATTTTCTGCTCTGAATTTAATGTTTTATGATAGTGTGGAATTCAGGACTTTATTCCCATATTTCAAATACAGTGTAATTTAGGAATGCAGCCTCCTATCTTTTCAGATAAGCCCTGGGTGCTCTTTAGCCTGGTTGTGAAATATTTTTGGGTTTTTTCTTTCTGGATTGATGGGTGCTTGGAGTGTGATAGATGTTTAGTGACATCACCAGCATTTTGGAAACATGCTGAAAGAACACTGTAAAATGGCTTCTCTTTTTTTGTAATGACATTGAAATTCTATTTTAACAAATGAAAATTACTGCAGCAAAGCACCTAAAATCTGTCAAATTCATACTAAACTGAATTATACAAAGTAATTCCATTGTATGGAGTTACAGCTAATGTATAGATGTTTGGTAATTACCTTGCCTCCTTGAATGTGACAAATGGCATTTATTGGGACATTGGCTCACCATGGAACTATTCTGGAGCCACTGTGGTCCTGATGTGCATGACAGGAGGGTGAGTTTTCCTGGGCTAGAAGGAAGGTAATTCCACACAGCCCAGAAGCTGGGTGAGGGTGGAAACAAATCTGCTGCTACTTATTTCCAGTGCTGGGTAGATAGCAATATTGTAAATGATTAAGTGAAATCGATGAGACATCTTCCCCTTGTAGTTGTCTCCTGCTCAGTTTTGGCATAGGAATTGCTTTCATATGCCCAGAGCCTGGTGTCTTCTGTTGCTGCTGGAATGTTTGTGAAAACATAGTGGGAGGGAGAGCACTGGCGTCTTAAATGAATATTAGAAATTTTTTTTAATGCATGCAGTTATGTCTTTCACTGAACATGTTATTGTAGATGGGAATGATCTGTTGCTATCCTATACCTGTTCTTTCATGAGGTTACTGGAGTGGAAGGTAGTGCTCTTGCACAGCATAGATGTACCATACAGAGATATTGAAAAGAATGAAATTTTTATTCAGTGTGTGCTTTGAACTCTTGCAATACTGGGATCATGTATTTGGTTTTACAAACCCATAATGGCACAGTTGCAGATTGTTATGCTGAAGTGCTGTCTGTGATTTGAAGGACTTGCTGTAGGTGTTAAAGCATTTGATGCTTTAATGTTCACGGACCTTTCTTCTGTAACAGATTATTCTTGACAAGTAATTATTTTTCCTGAAGAAAGAAGTATTTCTGCAAAGTAAAATGGGAAGAATTTCAGGTTTTATCAGGATTCTGTATCCATATGGTCAACAAAATGTTTTCCTGTAGGAAAGACAATTTGAGACCTTGAGCATTCATTGTTTTAAATCCAAAGGAAAAGAGGGAGATGAACAGGCACTGTATATTTTCTTTAGTGCAGGATGTTAAGATTATTGCAGGTTATTTACAAAAAGATATCACTTCCATTTTGGGTCCTTCTGCCCCTCAATAAGGCCTCAGAAAGCAGCAGTTGCACAGTTGTTCCCTCTCTCCCAGCCTCACTTCTGGGAGTCAAGGGCTGAAGATGGCTCTTCCTGCCTATTTAGCTCAGCTTTTTATCTTTTTTCCATGTTTTAATTTTCCTTGACTGATACAGTAAAACAGGGTTTATTTCACCTACACTTGGCCATGGTGGGTTTTGCTTGTTCCTCATCTCACCTCATCAGACTGAGGTGATTTGATTTTTAGGAGCCTGTGTAAAATGTGACCTACTTTCCCAGTTGGCATCTGTGCCCAGGAGAATTCCGGGTGGGTGTCAGTTAATGAGCCTCTCCTGTGCTCTGTAGCTCAGTGCTGTTTTCAGTGTGGAGTAATGTGCTGAATAAGGCTTAGGTTATAGCCCAGATATTGACAGCTGTCCTTGAAATAGGTAATGATCTGTAATAAAAATTGTAACTAGAAAGTACAAAAAAATCTCTCTTAAACTATGGCAGATAATTATTGCAATCATGCTCATTCTTGTGGAAGGACTGCTCTGGTGTGAATTCCAGCAAATGATTTGGATGTTTTTATTAAATACCTTACCATGGGAATAGGTGGCTATAATGGGCAGTAACATTTTTGATGGTTTGGTGTGAGAGTGGTTTTGTCATAGTTCAGCCAAAGCAGGTAAATGACCCTGCTGCTGCTTTCAGCAGGGTCAACAAGCCAGTTTAATCTTCTGCTGTAATCAGCTGTTTTCTTGCATTAAAATCCATTTCATCTCTGCCTTTTCACCAAATGTTAATGGAGCTGTTAGAGGAGCAGTGCACGTTGTGCAGTCAGGAACATCTCGGGGATCAGAGCTGGGATTGTTGGCTCCTGGCTCCGAGTGAGCACGGAGAGCTCAGCTGCACGTGGAGAGCCTGCAGCAGGAAGAAGCAGATGCATCTCCCCAGCCAGATGGAGCATATGCCAAGAGACAAGTGTAACAGTGTGGGGAGCATAAACAGAAAAGTTGGTGTTGAAACACTGTGTTTATAAACCAAAAGCTCTCTGGTTTTGTTTTTCATCCAGCTTTCTCCACCTCCCAGCATTGCTTCTTTTCCAGGCTGGGAATAACCAATGTGTATTTTGAACTGTTGTTGGTGCGTAGTAGTTTGTTTTGGTAGCACTTGAATTGGTTCATTGCTTCCTTTTTTTTTAAATTTGGGTTGACTTCATGTGAAAATGAAGATCTGGGAATTGTATCTAAATATATACTTGGATGCACACATACAAAATTAGATGAGAATGACCTTCAGTTAATTGATCTTGTTTCCTTCCTTGGTGGATACCTGGTGTATCCGATCTAGATAAGGATTTGCAAAGCAATTTGGGCTTCTGTATCTTGCTATTCAAAGCTAAAAAGTAAGATGGTGGAAACTGGGCCAAATTCTTCAAAAATAATTATTCCTTTAAATGTTTTATAACACAAGCTACACCGTAAGTTTTTAAATTTATTTTTAAGAAGAAAGTGCCCCGCAACCAAGAAAATGAAAACTGATACTGAATGTATGTGACTAAAATCTCCAAATCTCTGTGAAATGTCAGCACAGCTTTACAGAACTGTGAGGTGGCACCAGGAATGCTGATGGTTAAACACACACTGGAGATTGGAGGGAGGCTGGCACTGAGATGTGTTAACATTGTTTTGCATTCCTGCCTATTTGATAGATGGAGAACTGCCAGAAGTGAGCAAAACCTGGGGGAATAAAGAAAGAAAAAAGCTTTGGGCTGATAAAAGAACATGTATTGGTGTAGTATTATGTATTTTTGTAGTTCAAACCACTTGATTTGGTCTCCAAACACTGTGGGAATAAGTGGTGCACATTTAAAAGAAGGAAGAAGCTTAAAAATTATTTCAGTGAAGGAAGGAAAAGACTTGGTAATCTGCCCATGATGCTGAGAAAATGTAGGCATTATTGGGCTTGATTTGCTAAATGATTATGTAAATGTAATTATACTGCATATAACATTTCAAATAATTTGAGATGGCACACAAATACCTTTGAGACATTTTAAGGAGGTGGTTGAGGAGGA